TTACAGTAATATAATTACAGTAATATATCGCTTAGCAATATGTAGTGTGGACTGAAACCGCACATCATCTAATGAAATTTCCATCCTAGGCTTGGGGAAAATCTCCCCCACTCAAATTCCCAAATTTATTTCTTTCTTGGACATTCTCCTTTACATCTGTGATACTATTCAATTATCATTGTCCTGTCAAATTAATCCTTTGAGGGGCTGGCCCAGTGGATCAACATGTTAATCCTCCATGTAGCAGTGTCAACATTCCATCTGAATGCCGGCTGTGGTTCCAGCGGCTCCACCTCCTATCAGCTCCCTGCAGATGCACTGGGAAAATAGACAAACAGCAATGAACCAGTGGATGAGCTCTGTCTCTCCTAATTTCTGTAAATCTGCCTTTCCAAAAGAAAAATAAATAAATAAAAGCCAATTATTTGTAGTACATTAACTAATTTCATTCAAGTTACTCTTTTTTTTTTTTCCCTCTGAATGTTAAATGACACATTTATTGCTTCTTGGCCTTTTGGCTAAGCCCAAGTGAATGTTAAATGGCACACTTAGTAGGCAAATATTTCTTTAAAAGCACATAATTAAACTTCTTAATTAGAATAAGAACATCATTATCAAAGATATCATTTAGAGAGAAAGATACTTGGTACAGTGGTTAAGATACCACACTCATCATTGGAGTGTCTGGATCCAAATCCTGACTCTCCAATTCCAGTTTCTTGCTGATGTGCAGTCTGGATGGCAGTAGGTGATGACTCAGTTATTCGGATTCCTGAAAATCACGTGGGAGATCCAAGCTGAGCTCCTACCTCCTGACGCGAGCCTCACCAGCCCTAGCTAGTGCAGATACTTGGGGAATGAACTAACAAGTGAAAATCTTACTTTCTCTTCCTCTTTCTCTCTCACACACACGGAGAGGAAGGGAGAATTTTTCTTTTGAGGACAAGTAGAATGAATGTAAAATATATTTTACATAAGATACTTTTAATATATCTATGTTACAATGTAATATCCAATATCACCAATTCATGTACCTTTCAGCTTTCTACTTCAAACTTAGAAAGCTAAAAATTGTGTATATATCCTCTTAAATTTGCATCCCGTTTACATCTGCCTGCAATATAATGCTGCTTAGCTTTTCTAGGAGTCAATCTCCCAAGTTTCTCTGAGAAAGACTTTGAGATTCAAACTATGCCATGTAGTATAGTTAGTAGAGAATCCTTGAGCCAATCATCATAGGAAGGATTTGAAAGGAAGTAAGGTAGGACTGAGTAGAAGTCGAGCTATGAATCACACTTGATGGCTGTTTCATTCATCACCAAGAGAGCTATGGAGTTAATACTGCCCAACCAGTTTCGCCCCGTTTGGATTGAAGGTCAGACCTTTATGTCTTTGTTCCTCAGTCATTGGATGAGACATGACTTCAGTTAAGGCACACTTCTTCTCCAGCTGATGGAATCTCAGGAGAGGTGAAAGCTGAGCTGTCTGCTGGATGAACTTCCATGAGCTGGGGCCATGAGCTCTTCATTGAATTCAACATGGGTACTATATCTTAACTCATGTCAGAACCCTTTTTCCACAAGTGTGAAATGTTTGAGGTAAGTGTCACTTCTCCTAGAGATTGAAGAATGTTAATGACCCACGTTCTTTCTAAAATTTTTGATCTGCCTTCTTTCCCTGAATACCTTTCCCATTGATGCCCGCTTTGATTTTTCATAACCAGCTTTTTAGGCAATATTTTGAAAGTCCTGTACAGAAGTATTTGGCAATTTCTATAACTTAAACACTCCCTGGGATGATCAATTTCAAACCAACAATATGACATAACAGAGTTTGAACAAGATACACACAACTGACTTCCATGAGCCAGCCACAGCCTATCACTCTTTTTCTAAATCTGTCCAACTACTAAGAATGAATTTGACCGACAAGGCAGGTAAAATACCAACTATGCAAATTCTTAATCCCTAAACCCTAAAGCAAAGTGGATCAAGCCTTTATATTGATATTATACAAACTCCCAATCAGCATTGCTACTTGTTACAGTTATTTACTACGTTTTCATATATTTCCCCAGTTATTAAACACCCCTTATTCATCATAAAGGCCTTATATTTTACTGTTCATCATTTATTCAGACTAGTAAAAGCAATAACAACCACAGCCTTTATTTCAATATATTATTCCTGAATGAAAGAAAGAACAATAAAGGTTAGTTACGTGAGTACTCATGGGTGTTAGGAAAACTCAGCTGCATGGTGATATGTTAATGATTATTCATGGTTTTGTGTCTAAAACATTAGCAATACACACAAAAAGATGATGAATGTCTGTGAAACAATATCCAATATCAGATGTGTCATCCTAGTGAATTTTTTTTTACAAAATCAATTGAATATCAAAAGTAGAGTGGTAAAGCGACAATATTGAAAAGCCACACAGCAATGTATGACAAGAAGAAAAATAGAAGAAAAGAAGAACTAAAATATTAAGGTGGAAAGTGCATTAAATTTCAATTCATTTGCAGAATGATTTGAAATTCTGTCCTATAGGTCTCAATAGAAAATATACTCAATATCCTTTAAGTTTAGAAATGTTACTTTATCCCCTTGTTTAGTTTATTCTTTGTCATTGTTTCTTGCAATATTGTTTATTTCTAAATAATAAATTCATTTTATTTTTAATGATATTGACATAGTTGAAAGGGATGCATGCCCATGTAGAGCACGAACTTAGGCTGGGGAGGGTTGAGGAAAGGGAGAAACTGGATGAGATAACTTCTTCCAATCTCCTCTTTTCTTCTGGTATCTAGGGAAAGTGGAGAAAGGGAGAGAGCTGCTCCCAGCAACCAACTACATCATTGCTAAGGAATGGAGGAAAGCCACCCCATATCATCCCAGGGTCCCTGATGTGGAACATATTCTGAGTACACACCTTAAGTGGTTTTGATAGTTCTGATATACTGCTGATTTCATTGTTTCAAGGTTGAGCAAATACTTCTGAGGTCTATTTTTTGATACAGTCCACCTTAGAGTTTCAGTTCTCCAAGATACTTGTCCAGGAGAGCTGCCCAATTGGTTCCGCCCTCTGTTGAACTAAATGTCCTCTGCAGGTCTCAGTGAACTGGCTATCACGTCTCTTATGAGCATCTGAGAATGCCATCTACCATGCAGGCCTCAGCAACTGTGGAGACCCAGTTCTGACACATGCTCTCCATGGTCAGACCACATATCCTGTGATTTTCACTGTGGTGGGAGTTCTGAGTCCAGTGATCTAATTGTGGTCGGAGGGAGATGTGGAACCCCAAATAAACATCACAAGAGGTAATCCCAACCTGACTCTCGTGTGTGCCAGAAAGTGTGCGATCTAACCCAATGTAATACCCACATTAGCCTACACACACACACCCCCATACACCTACCACAAGTTAAATAGCCCTGCTTGGCCTGACCAACACCAACCCTGACTCACATGCTCACCAGCAGGAGCTCTGGCCCAACAGAGGAGTTCCCCAAGTTTCCCCACCAGGTCCACTCCCAAAACCAGATCTCTTGTGTGTCAGAGAATGTTAGGCCCTTCCCCTGCAGTCTGCCCCCCAGTCTCAGTCTTTGTGTGTGCTGGTGGATGTTGTGAGCCAGCCTGCCCCATACCCACTTCTTGGATGTGCTGGCAGTTGCTGCAGTATCAACCAGCCAGGCCTGTTCCCAATCCCAGTACCCATGAATGTGGTTGAGTTCTATGGCTATGCCTAACTCAGCTCATCACCACCCAAAGACATCGAGCAAACTAGCTGGCATGGCAGTCCCACAGAGGTGAACCCACAAGTTCCCCACAGAATCTTCTTCCAGGCCCAGTTCTCTCATGAGATGGTTAGTGTCATGGCCCAGACTAACATGGTCCACCCTCTGCCCCAACACTCACTGGTGGGTACTGTGCTTGAATCCTGCCAGGCAAGCCCCCTAGCCACAGATTTTGTGTATGCCAGTAGGCAGTGGTTGGTACTAATAATCCCAGCCCAGGTCTCCAATATGGATGGATGTATTGGTTCTGTCCCAAAATGTCCTCCAGTTTGCTTTTTCTAAACCACCCAGTCAGCTCCCTCATTACTTGTAAAGTGCAGTAGCCAGGTTGGTGGAAGTTCCCCAGAACTCACTCTTCAACTGTCACATTCTCCTTCAGCAGTCTTCCCTCCACACATGTTTTCCTGAGCAATCCACCGCCCCCGTTTCTGGTCCTCTGGTAGTGTGCTGTGCCAGCCTAGGCTCAGTCTGTCTACCTATAGCCCATACATACTCAGGCACGGGTCCCCAGACCCTGTCTGCTGGCATGCCAGCTTCTACCCCACACGTATCATAAAAATACAAAAAAATAGAATAGGTAATTAGGCTGGTTCACTGGTATAATAAACATAAACATGGCATTGACCACGCCTAGGATGCCTGCCAGCTCTTAGCTGCTTTTCTCCCAGAAATGTAATACTTGCACAGGAACAATGCAACCTATGCTGGCAAATTGAGGGAGATAATATAAGAATAGTAATAGTAGAAAGAACATACCATTGCCTAGTGATAACATTGGAATTAATTAGGCTTAATTAGTTCAAAGCCAACACACAAAATTCAATTTTCAAACCTTCCCTTGATTTTGTGAAATGAGAAACATACTGACAAAGCTATTAGAAAAAGAGAAACAGTTTTATTTCCATGTTTATTATTAATTTGAGAAATATGTATAAGCGTAGTTACATTTCATAAGTTACTGCTTTTCATTAATAACTGATATAAACAAATCCATACAGTTTTCAGAATAATTTTTGATACATATGATGTCATTATCAAATAGTATGTGAGTTCATGGAGACTTGAAGCTGATAAATTAAAGATTAACTGAGGACATGAAAAAATTAGTAATCTAACAAGATAATCAAAATACACATATTTTACTTTTCATATGCAAAAATAGCTTCCCCAAGATTTTCAACAGAGAACTAAAAGAGTTATTTAAAACATGTTCACTAGTCCAAACTTACGGAGAATACCTAGACGAATCTGCTTTGTCCGGACACTGTAAACCACTGGATTCAGCACTGGGGGAAGAAGCAGGTAAATGTCAGCCATAAGCACGTGAACAATGGGAGACAAATGCTTCCCAAATCGATGGACCATCGACACGCCAATGACTGGCACAAAGAAAATGAGCACCACACAGATATGAGACACACATGTGTTGAGTGCCTTTAGCCGCTCTTCACGGGATGCGATACCCAGCACAGCATTGAGAATCAGAACATAAGAAACAAGGATAAAGACTGAATCCACACCTAGGGTGACAATGACTACACACAGTCCATACACGCTGTTGACCCTGGCATCTGAACAGGATAATTTCAGAACATCCTGGTGCAAGCAGAAGGCATGGGAGAGGTCATTGATGCGGCAGTAGTGATAGCGTCTCAGCAACAAAGGTGTGGGCAGTACAACCCCCATGCTCCGAAGCAAACAGGCCAAACCAATCTTGCCAATCACACTGTTAGTGAGGATGGAGGCATAGTGCAACGGACGGCAGATAGCAACAAAGCGGTCAAAGGCCATGGCAAGCAGCACCGAGGACTCCAAGAACGTGAATGTGTGGATGAAGAACAGCTGAGTATAGCAAGCACTTGCCTGGATCTCCCGAGCATTCAACCATAAAACACCAAGCATGGTAGGAAGTGTAGAGAAGGACATACCCAAGTCAGTCAGTGCCAAGATGGAAAGGAAGTAATACATGGGCTGATGGAGAGAGGACTCTACCCAAATGACAGAGAGAATGGTAACATTGCCAATAAATGCTACCAAATATGCAAGGCAGAAGGGGATGGAGAGCCAACCATGAACATACTCCAGTCCAGGAAAACCTTTCAGGAAAAAGACGGATTCCATAGCATTGCTGTTATTCCATATCACCATGATGATCTTCCAGCAAGGAGGCAGAAACTGAGAAATGTTGTGTGTTATTCCTTATCCTACAGATTACTCTCTGTGAATACAAGCAATGTGATCAGGACAAAAAAAAAAAAAAAAAAAAAAATCTCCCCTCCAGCTTCACAGAAGCAGAATCTGTGTTATGAGCTTTCTTTAATTTTTTATTGTTACTACTATTTGTCATGACACAGTTTTATAGGGGGGATTTCCTCCTTGCCTCCCCCCTTCCTTCCTCCCCATTTTCCTCTTCTATAAGAAACATTTCTCGGTATTGAAGAGTAACAAGTTCTGCAACAAAATGTTGTGTGCACAAATATGGGCATCTCAACACCATTTTTTTTAATTTGCATGAAAGAAACAGCAAATTTTAAGCAACACAAGAACAGAGAAAGAAAAACTCACCACTAATCATAAATATGAAGATAGAATAAAGCCAGATGTCTACAGCTTTGCCTAAACCTTCTGGCAGTAATGTTTTTAAACGAATCAGGAAAATTAAACTGATCCCAGAGGACCAGCCTAATCTCCTTAAGTCATTCTTATATCTGTTAGTTTATAATGTTTAGACATTTAAAACATTTGCTATTTTAATAATAAAAAAACAAATGCCCCCATTATATGAAAAAATACATACAAGGGGGAAAAGAATCTTTGATTTTGGAACATTAGTATATTAGTTTTGGCTATTTAGTAGAGCAAATATTGCCATAATCTAAAAATTCCTCATGGTAAAAAATAAAAACCTTACGCATTCATACACACACATAGTATAGAGGATTTTCATAAGTTCATGGAGATGCACGTTAGGAAAAACTATATATGGATCGCAATTTTTGTAAGATGAAATTAACCTTTTTGGCTTTTTTTGCGGGGGCGGGCTTGAGAGTCAGACAATGAGAGCAAGAGTAAGAGTGAGTAAAAGAGAGAGAATATAGGCAACAGAGCTCTCATCCACGGATTCCCATCCTGAACGCTGGTACAGTGTGGACCGGGCAGAGACTGCAGCTGGCAGCCAGCATTCCAGCCTGCATTTCCCACAAGGTGGAAGAAGCCCTATCTGAACCAGGAGCGCTGCCTCTCAGGATCTGAACCAACAGGAGACTGAGCCTAGCGGCTGCAGGCAAGTATCACACCAAGGGATGCCAAATTCCAATACGGAATATTAGGCCAAATGTCTGCCTCTTACACTGATTTTAACTCTGTTTTCTATGAACTTTTGTCTGATATATATATCCTTCAAGGTATCTATATACAGCTTCAATATACATATATATTCATATGAGAATATATAGTACACATTCATATATTTATATTTATATACATATATATGTAAATACTTGAGGTCATATGCCTTACACATTTAGATAATAAATCTTCAGGGCATAAAGTCAAAAGAGCTCTCCTCAAGGGCAAAGTAATGTGCAAACAATAAAATTCAACACAATTATCTGTTACATATGTCACAAATAAGTAAAATGTGAACCATTCTGGGTTCTATTTGTTTCTTAGCTGATTTTTTTTCTCCCAGAATGATTCTTATGGCATTAAAAAAAAAAAAAAGTAGATGTACAAAAAAAGGACAAACTCTCTGTTTCTGTAGCTCTGCCTTTCAAATAAAGCTTAAAAAAAAAAAAAAAGAACAGTTGTATAATTGCAATGGATAGCCAACCCCAGTATGAATCGGTGGCTCCTAGGAGATACCTGCAGCACGTACCCTCATGGCCCATCAGAAACAACCAAGTCCGTCCTTTTTACTGTCTGGTGTTATTTTCCGTCTGTAGCCTTGATGCCCCCTTGCTAAAGGCCTATATTTCCTTTCCCTTGTTGAGTCTGGGCTACTGCCACTGCATACCACAGCTTAACACTGTGGGAGCCCCTATCCCTTCCACTTATATTTCCTTGTATTAACCCTGCCTAATCTTACCAACTTTGTGAAGATGTTCTTCGCTCTCTTTGTTTTTAAGAATGGGGCTTAATATATCTCAGACAGCTCCATAACAATCTTCACTAATCCTGGCCAACCTGTACTCAGTCTCTGAACTCTAGAGAGTATGAAAGAGGACTCGGCACAGGACTAAAGTAAAAGATTTCCTCAATCAGGCTTTAAAACATGGGCCCCAGCTACCTAGCAGGGACCTTTCATTGTCTCTGTCATGTTTCAGAAGAATCTTTCACTGCTAGTCCCTCAGGACTGGGTCTTATCCAACAGGAAGACTGACCTGTCTCAGGCTACACAATTCCAAAGAAGATGAGATTTAGACTATGCGTCTTAGGAACAAAAGGAAATACCATGCCATCTCCAGTTTTTCACTTCCAAGGAACCGTTTCCATACTGCTCCTGCACATCTACGGAAAGCTCCTTTCTTATTCAGAAGGTTCATCACACACTGTAGACGTTAATGTTGAAGTATATAGTACATGCGCACACACGTAACATTGTGATCACAATGTAGATATTTTTACTCTGTGCTAAATAATCTATGTTTTTTTCTTTAATTCTTCCTACTCTGAAATAAGTCACAGTTTCTCAGATAAGATGCAGGAAACAACCGTGATTGCCATTTTTCTTAGAATTGTTTTACTCACTGTTCTGAGGTCTCTTTGTACAGGTAGAAATATCGAGAACATTTCAATTGTGAAGCCTGTGCATACATTGAATTTAGGACAGGCAAAATGACAGGATTATGTTGTTCATTTCTGACGTTACTGCCTGTTTTAGGTGTGCAACATGTTTTCATATGCATACACACAGTAGAATGATCATTAAATTCAAATCATTCTAGCCATCACCTTCCAGTTGCCTGATGTTTATGCATTTAGAGCACCAACAATGTCTGAGCAATATTTTATAATTTAATGCATTATATTCACTGAGGTCTTCTAGCTGCATTTATCCTCCATGACTGCAAGTGATCCCCTCTGACTCACTTCTTGTGCGAGCCTGTCCCTGGCGGTCACCACTCTCCTTTGTTCTGGTGTGTCCTCATCACTCCTCTGCTGCTCTGTCTGTCGTGTTGTTCTGCTTCCTTTTCTCAGGCCCGCCACTGTTTATTTGCTATTCATTTTCTACTAACTCCATTTGTAGGTCATTAAAATGATTCATTGTCCTTTATTTGGATAAGTACAATTTAATCACACTGATTTGAAAGGGAAATAGCAGGAAGGGACTAAGAGTGACAGGGATTGTTTCAAAGGGTAAAGCATGAAGATTCATGTCTGACTCACCTCTTCCGAGTAGTTGAGGGAGAACAACGAAGGCTGAAACCCCGGCCTTACAGCCTGTCCATCATTTGAGTTGAAAGCTCCAAAAATTTTCTCGCACTGACCAGCTGATCTTAAAATTGCTTAAAAGATTTATAGTATGCCATAAATTTCAAAAATATCCAACGGGGAAATCACACACTTTTCTGTCTTCAATAAATTGTACATTTTATTTCTAATAATTATATTCTTTTGCACACTATGTCTTGACACAAAGTATACCTATAGTTGAGTTGTAATTTAAAACTTCTTACCTCAACTTTATAGCAAAAGCAATTGTAACATTTAAGTGCTCAACCTGAAATCAATAGTGCATTTTCCAAGTAATCTCTTCTGTTTTGTATCACTGTCCAGTTTTCTCCACTATAGATAAAGTCACATTCTCTATTTCTGTGATATTTTCTTTCTAGGTCATCTTAATTACTCTCTAAATGCTATTATATTTCATAGTCTACTTCTTGCTTACATTTCTTTTTGATCTGGTCCTTGTATAGATTGGTGCGTTTCAGCATGAAATTCTCTATGTTTCAGTTCTTTCACTGTCTGTATTTCTTGTCAGTTCTGTTCAGATGTCTGTGCTTTTAATCGTCTCAGAGGAGTTTCCATTTCTCTCTGAAGACCAAACGTGTGCTGATTCCACACACTAACTCAGATTTGCTGTGGACCTCGAGTCTTGAAAACCTTGGACTTTGTGAGGCATAAAGGATTCCACCATCTCTTTTAACTACTACAGGTTTCTCCTGGGGTTGAAAATTTGGGATTAGTGTGTCAGCTGGCTCCCTGGAGATAAATGCCTGTAAACACAGCTGTGGCAAAAACAGAGCTCCACAGTCCTGGAAAAAAACAAAGTGCAGCTCTCCCAGCCACCAGCCACAATGCTTTCTCACATGCAGATGCTTTCTCTACTCAAAAACCGTAAGAAAAGGAAATCATAATGACTATCTGATCCACCCCGTAAGGATGCCGGAATTTCAGCTTTCCCCAGGAGCATGGTATAGGACTATGGCAATGATGTGTAATAAAAGGCCCTTTCATCATTTTATTCACTTGTCAATGTAAATAGCACTTATAAATTATATTTTTTATAAATCTGTGATATTAATATATAAAGACAGTTTAGATTTTAACTTTCTCAATCTGATCTGGGATCATCTCAGACAAAGTTTCTTTGGGGATCCCACCAATCGAACTGCTGAACTCAGAACCCCAACCATGAAGAGAATTGTCAGTTCCAGGGTCTGACAGCGGAGTGCATGTGTCAAAGCTGAGTCTTCTCAGTGGCTCAGTCAGAGCAGTGGACAGCATATCTAGCTGCTCGTGGAGGATATGGTAGTACATTGGAACCTGCATAGGACACCTGATACCAGAACAAAAGATAGAACAAATTGATCAACTACCCCAGACATGTGTTGGCAGTGGAAATCTGGGCAAGTGAAGAAACTAAGATGAATTATGTCAGCCAGTGGGTTCTGAAGATATTTCATCGTGCTTGGAATGGTGAGATTTGCAGCCACTCAGAACAGTTGAACCATCGAAACCACTTGAGCAGTGCCCTCAGAGGATGCCCCATATCAAGGACCCTGGGATGGTTGGGAGGGAAGATGTGGTTTCTCCCTTTTTCTCTCCCCTTCCCCCAGCTACTGAAGGAAAAAAAGAGAATGTGGAAATAATGGTCTTATCCACTTTTCTGTAGCCCTTGACCCTTTGTGCCCTAGTCAGCTATGTAAAGATCATAAAAAGGAAAGAAAAGAAAAAAGGCCTATTGAATTCTTTTTTATTTTTAATTTGTTATACAGGTCCCAGAATGATGGCATAGCAGATAAAGCCAGTTCTCATGTATACACCAGTTTGTTTTCTGGCTGCTCCACTTTCCCATTCAGCTCCCTGTTAATGGTGAGAGGAAGCAGCAGATGATGGAACAAGTACCTAGCCCCTGATAGAACAAGTAAATGGCCTCTGCTGCTGGCGTGAGAGACCCAGATAAAGCCCCTGCTTCCTGGCTTTGGCCTGACCCATCATTGTCCACTGTAGTCATCTGAAGAGTGATCCAGTGAATGGAAGATCTCTCACTTTAACTCCAATTTTCAAAATTAATACATTTTGGGCCCCGGCGCGGTGGCGCAAGTGGTTAAGTCCTCACCTTGCACGCCCGGGATCCCATATGGGTGCCGGTTCTAATCCCAGCAGCCCCGCTTCCCTTCCAGCTCCCTGCCTGTGGCCTGGGAAAGCAGTCGAGGACGGCCCAAAGCTTTGGGACCCTGCACCCGCGTAGGAGACCCGGAAGAGGCTCCTGGCTTGGGCCGTTGCTCTCACTTGGGGAGTGAATCATCGGACGGAAGATCTTCCTCTCTGTCTCTCCTCTCTGTATATCCGCCTTTCCAATGAAAAAATAATAAAAATAAATCTTTAAAAAAATTAATACATTTTGAAATCAAAACACATGTCCAGCACTGTAACATGGCATGTTAAGCAGCTACCTGCAGTACCAGGGAAATGGTTGAAGTTTTAGTTGCTCCATTTCTGTTCCAGCTCCATGCAAATGATCTTGGAAAAAACCCTGGAAGATGCCAAAGTACTTTGATCCCTGCACTCATATGAAAAATTCAGAGAAAACTCCTGGTTCTTGGCTTCAGCCTGGCCCAGCCTCAGCCCCAGCTGTTGAGGCCATCTGGGGAGTAAACCAGCAGATAGAAGATCTCTCTCTTTCCATCTCTATGTCTCTCTCTTTCTAACTCTACCTTTCAAATAAAATAAAATCTTATAAACATCCTAAAACAAACAAAAAAAGTTATAAGTATTTTAGACCCCTTTTTTGTCAATTCACGCTTCAAAAAGTAATCCCTATTTCTATCCTTATTCTTGAAACTTATATCATTTTTAAAGATTTGTTCATTTATTTATTTGAAAGTCAGAATTACAAACAGAGAGAGGGAAAGAAACAGAAAAAGTGTTCTTCCACCCTCTGTTTCACTAACCAGATGATTGCAAAGAACAATAGGTGAGGCTGAGCCGGGCTGAAGCCTGGGACCAAGATCTGCTGGTCTCTCGTGCAGATGGTAGGGACCCAAATGCTTGGTTCATTCTTAATTGCTTTCACCAGGATATTTGCAAGGAGCTGGATCCAAAGTGGAGCACGTGAAACATAAAGCAGAACCCATACGGATGCTGCTGACACAGTTGCAACTTAACCTCCTATTCCACAGCATCAACTCCTCCAATCTTCATATCTTACATCTATTTGCACACTCCACAAGTTAATATAATCAGTGCAGTAATAGAGGTGGTAAAAACTGCTTTCTTTCATTTCTACAGATATTACAGGTTGAAGTTTTTATCACTAAATGGGCTTTCCCTTTATCAGATAATGTGACTATCTTCTATTTTTCTTGTAATAATGGAATCCAAATTTTATAAAATTATTTTGCATCCACTGAGATTTCCAATTATACATTTTACATTATTTGCTTTATTATGCTATCAGCGTGATTAATTATATTGACTAATTTTTAAATTCATTCTTTTCTGTAATAAATCCAAATTGGACATGACATTTTATTTTTCTTATTGCCATATTTGATTTACTAATGTTTTTTGAGGATTTTTATATCAATAGTCATGGTTGAGAATGGCTGCAGTTTTTATCACTTATTCTGCTATGATTATGCAAAACTCCAAAGTAACAGGAAATACCCCGCTAGAAGATTCTAATTTTGCATGATTTTTTTCATCAATTGGATATTCAAAAGGAATTTTTGACTTGAAATTTATCTGAGAAGTGCGCACACACACACACACACACACACACACACACACACACAGTGTGTGAGACAGACAGACAGAAAGCAAACTCGTATCTGGCAATTCATTTCCCCGTATGCTGTCTACAACAGCAAGACCTGGGCCAGGCGAAAGCAGGAACTGAAAACTCTGTGTCTCTCATTTGGATGACAGGGTTCCTACTATTTGATTCATCTGCTACCTCCCAGTGTATGCATTAACAGGAAGCTGGAATCGGGAACAGAACCAGAATGCTCACCCAGACACTCCATATAGGATACAGATTCTCAAGCAGCATATCAATCTCTAAGCCAAAGTCTACCCTAAAGGGCAATTTTAATATAATCTATTTCTCTTTTATCATGAAAACTTTGTTCTTAAAATATCTCCATAAATAGGTCTTCCTTTTATGTGACTGCCCCCTTCTTACATGCTCAATAATTTAATCTTACAAATCCATGTTAATTAACATTGTGAGTAGTTTACAGTCTTTTTTCCTTAATTAGAAGATCTTCACTTTAGCTTACTAACCCCAAATTTAATTCCCTCCTTTCAGATTTTTCATAGTAAAGGTGTAGTACATGAACCAGGAACCAGAATAATCCATTACTTAAGATTACTTTGCTAATTAGCTTGATTCAAGTAGGAAGATAAATGCCAGTGTCTGGTCAGTTGAATGGGCCAATCCTTCAGTTTAATGTCCTCTGATTCTCTGTGGCTTTTACCATGTGTCTGATCAAATGCATACTCTTCATCTGAGAGTTCTTCCTCTAAATAAAAGCAGCTAAAAAGTGGACTGGTGATATAAATTTTCATAGTTCAAAACTATGCTGCCAAAATGATTAAAATCATTTATATTTATTATATGACATCTAGCCATATGACAATGTGTAAAGTTACTGCAATTATTTCACAAATGCAGAGTAATAAAAAAGTAATTTCGATTATTTTAGCTTACAAGTGAATAAGTCCTGAAATCCACCAATCAGCCTTTAGAGTTACATCTTCAGTAGAGCATTCAGAACATTCCTTTAACTCTAGATACATGAAAGGCTTATCCATAACAAGCAACTAATTCTAGTTCCATGACCACCTCAGCTAGTGTTATCCACACAACTATATTTTCTTTTGTCCTGATCACCATAGTTGGGTAGATCAAATGTCAAGACATATCAAATTGTGAAGGAAAAAATGACAGTCTTTAAATCTATCTTTATTATGACCTACAGGTGTCCTGTGTTGATTCATCTATCCTTTAAAAAAATTTTTTTCATCTATCTTAATTTCTATTTTTTAGAGCTTAGTTCCAGTTCTCAAGGCTGCTTCCAGGTTTTAAATTCTCTTATCTTCCAATAAAGTCATTGAATAGCCAGGTTAAATAATTCTTCCAAGCCAATATTAGGGCATTTCAGATGAATCCTTTTCTCCTTGGGAAGATAAAAAAGAATAGTAAATTTTAAGTGGAATTTTATTCCCCAGGTCCCCTTTCTACCAGCTGGTACAGACCATAAAGTTGCTGAATTCTTTGGATATCTTCAGCACTGAGGTGGAACTTTTTAGGATTCTGATAGTAATAGATGGGATACATTATAGATTTTGCATTCTTAGAATGTTTCAGACCCAGAGAATGACCAATCTCATGAACGGCAACCAGGAACAGATTAGATCCTGTAAGAACATAGACAAAAAGATAAAATTAACGCCCACAGGGGAGGCAATATGTGTATGATAAAGAAAGAAGAAAACAAATGAGGACTGAAAAGGAAGACAAAACAAATGTTAAAGGATGCAGGAAAGTGAGAAAGGGAAAGTGGTTAAGTGTGAAACAGAATGGCAAAACACAAAGACAAGCTGAACATGCACAAGACACACATGGAGAAGGCTCAGAGATCAATGAATGGGAACAAGCAAAAAAGAAAGAAGAAAAGCACAAGGTGTTTAATAGGGAACATCTGTTTAGAGTTGATATCTCCCTACCTGTACTCATTAAGAAGGTTCAATCCTTCTGCTAAGTTTCCCCCACCTCAGACTGGCCACGTTGATCCATCCCTACATCCTCTTTATTGCATCATAGGCCCAGATGGAGATCTTGTATATCCGTTCCAATCTTCCCAAAGAGTTCTAACACACCCATCCTACAAAGCTTTACCTTTGTTTGAAGTTGACCAATGTTCATCCTTGTCAAAATGAACAGTTCCCGAATGTTGAGAATCTGGTAAAAAGGCATGTCCTAAGATACCACCTGGCCCATCAAAGGACCAGCAGTCTCCATGGCCTGTGAATGGCAAAAGACATGGAAAAGAGGGGAAGGGAAGGGAAGGGAGGGGAAGGGAAGGGAAGGGAAGGGAGGGAAAGGGGAGGGGAGGGGAAGGAAGGGAAGGGAAGGGAAGGGTTGAGCAAGGGGAAAGAATTTTCTTAGTATTAGTGCCATAGGAGGATAGATTGGGGATGTCATAAAACCACCTTTGTGGAGAAATAGGATGGGGTCAGAAATCAAACTACTGCCTATATTCTGAGATAAAAGAAGACAGGAATCAATTTCTACCAGAGACAGTTTACATTTAAATACCAAATTTTTCTCCACGCATGGGATAGAAACAAAATTTAACTTATGCAAGTTTATGTACATAGGCAAATCTATGTTGAATGACAATGTCAGCAGGTTTTAGAGCTAAGCAGCATCCTTTTAAAAGGATATGTGCAATGTCTTCCCTTCCTCTATTTATAACTCATTGGAGCACTACTTCACCTATTGTTTGCCTGTACTTAAATGTCTCCCCTGTATTATTAACTTTGCCTTGCATGGGGATTCTTTTCTTCCTCAGGAGTGTCCCTTACACCAGGCATCATCCCTTTGGTCCTATGTCCAGTTCCTTACCTCTCTTCCAAAAAGAAAGCTTAATGTCTGCATCCTGGCTTGCCACTTGCTGAAATATCAAAGGGGTCACTTTGCTCCAGACAGAAATGGCGTTATGTATAATAACACTCACAGTGGATGGTTTCAAGCCATTTGGAAAATTGATGATGCTAAGAGAAAAAAAATAACTATTACAACTATTTATATAGAATAGTTCACAGGTAAGGGGATAAAAACAATTCTAAAATGAATTATTCTATCTTGGGAGAGAATATTTAGTATTTTCAGAATTAATTTTTTTTTACCTACAAAACTGAGTTAATCCCAGGCTAATTGAATTATAAAGCCAAGAAATTAAACACGCAAACTGTAGATTTTCAAGATTTTAATCAGCTCTCCACATTGATATGATATGAATTAAACCCTGAGTAAAACCCCCAAGTCTTATTATTATAAAAAATTATCAATAACAACAAGAAAACACAACCCCTAAAGGATAATTGAGTGGAAGTAATAAAGTCCATGTGAAATCTTAGTGTCTCATTTTTTTTATTTTGAATAGCTTCGTTCTATTTAAAATCTTCAAAAAAAAAAAAAGAGTAACACAAGCAGAGAAGTTCTCAAAATTTTATCCTATAAACATCCACATTGGAAAAATAAGATATTTAAGGATGAATATTGCATTATGACTGAAGAACAGTGGTTAGACTGCATGTCCGAAAGACTTGGAACCTAGAATGAGAAAACAGTAGAATTGCTTTATCTGAGGGAGATTTTGAACTTTGAAGAAACTGTCAGGGGAGGGTGACAACAGAGTGCCTGATTGTGGGAATTGAACATAGGGAATCACCCCACACGCCCCTGCGGCATGCACCTGTAGGTCAGGTTGGACTTGTTCCACTTGGAGCTTCCTGGCTTGAGCGAGCTGTGATCCTCATCAGGCATCCCACAGCGGCGCTGGCTCAGGACTCCCAGTGACTTCTCACGCGGTAAGCCTGTCTCATTGTGAAGAGTCGGCTGCAGGGACTTCGTCTGTTCCTTCTCTGTCAGAAAGAACTGATACAAATAGTGCTGTGTGAGAGATCAGGAAGGCATGGACACAGCAGGGAAGACCCAGCTTTCTAGGGTACCCTTATTTAAAGCCCTGAGAAAGATGGTTTGTTCGTTTGTTTGTTTGTTTCTTTTTTGTTTTTGCTTTGTCAGATTGGCCTTATCAAACCTCTCAGTCTGTCAAATGATGGCGCCCATTCCTAATTTCTCTCACTGGAAAGATGATACTAAACACAAGTGTCAGAATACAACTGGGTTGCATAAATGGCAAACAACTCCTCAAGCATGAAGCGTCCAAGTTTCAGGGGACAGAATCTAAGAGTAAACAGGCATGAGATTTTTAGAAGGGAAATACTAGAAAGAGGAACTTGATTGTTTCAAATCAATTGAACTCATTTTAGTCAGGAAAGGATAAGTGATTCCTAAAACACAGTTTCTGGCTAGTTCTGTGTTACTCAGTCTGTACTTACACATTCTATTCCACTAAAATACTGAGTCTGTGGTTATGAACCCACTGTAACAATATGGAGGAATACAATATAGGGGAAGGGTCTGGGAGGGGGCTTGGAGAATCCCAGAGCCTATGAAATTGTGTCATAAAATGAAATTTTTAAAAAAAACTACGAGTCTATTATTTACCTCTTCCTTATGTCTCCTCCTTTTCTTTCCAGTCCAATGTGCTAACACAACTTCTGAGGAAAATTAATATCTTGGTTTATTATCAGCTTTTCTATATCTACATTTGAACTCCAAAAACAATCAAAGTAATTTAAGAGAAATGCTTTGTTTAATCCTACTTGATTAAGCCACAGTTCTTATAGTACTTAATGCAAACTCATTGTTAGATTCATGTCTGTTGCATAAAACTGCATTTGAAAGCCTTTCTTATCATCTCAGCTGACTTCTCTAAAACAATGAGCTACCACAATTTTCTGGGTTAAACATTAGCAGGAAAATGGATCCGGTCCCTGACAAATCAGAAAATGCATTATTTAAATCATATATATGTGATGTTTATTTTGAATTTTTTAAAAAACGTTGAACAAACACAGCTTCTGGAAGAATTGAGGGTGTCGGTAGACCATTTGAAAGATGTGTTTATTCCAGAAAAATTATGAATTATGTCCCTTTTTTGTCCTAACTTGTACATAAAGCTAAAAGGGTGGGAAATGAGCAGGGAGCCTGAACTGTTCGCTCAGCACAGCAGACACAGTGAGGATGGTTCACATTATTCCACAGAGCCACCAATATGTTTTAGATTCCAAATGAAAAATAAACACATAGATTGAATAAATATCTTGATATGTAATTTCAGATATTTATTTGTCTTCATAGGAAACAATAAGTTGCAGGTATAAATATATATCTTATGTATATGTATGTATATATTTTGTCTTTATATAATGTAATCACACAAGGAAGGTATTACAAAAGATCATGGAAAAACAGAATTAAATAATAATGTGCGTTTTCTATGGGCATTTGAAGATCCCTCACACACACACTCACACATCCAAAGTGGAAAATGTCATCCTGAATTGTACACCTACCTTAGCAGAGTCCCATCCTTTAAGTTCTCTTGCATGGCACACTGGAGAGGCCAAATACCAGAGCAGAAAGATAATGACTTTTAAGACAGCAGTCTGCATGAAAATATTCATTTTTTCTCCTGCCTGAATTCACATGCCCAAATGGGTCACCAGGCTTTTATAGCAGTGCAAGCATCCTTCGCATCAGTGAGTGTCATTTTGAAGTACATGAAATTTCAGGAAGAATGGCCAGCATGCCAGGGTGATGACAGCAATTGTGGGCTGTATTTACACATTCATTTCACAACTGACAGCCACAGAATGCCCGTGGTCAAGGAAATGCAAGCAAGTCTCAGGACATAGGAGTGTATCATTTAAAAAAAAAAAATTAGAGAAAGAAGTGGATGTTTGGTACAGAAGTTAAGCTAGAGTTTGGGACAACTGCTGTCCTACATGCAAGTATCTGTGTTCAAACGCTGCCTCTGCTCCCAATTCCAATCCCTGCTAATGTATATCCTGTGAGGCACCAGGTGATAATTCTTCAAAACACATGGGTTGAGACGGTATCAATGACAGGTTCAAAAACTAACAAACAAATAAACAAACAAAAATTACAGTTTAAATCAATGCAAACATACGGTATCTAACCTTTTGGGATTCGCTCATTTCCCTTAGCATTATAGTTTCCAGTTGGGCCCATTTAGCCACAAAGAACTGCATTTTGTTTTTTTTAATAGCTGAGTGATAATTCAAAGTACTTGGGTGCCTGCCATTGTCACTCATGTGGAAGATCAGCATCGTGGTGTGAATTGAATTCTCAACTCTTAGCTTTGGACTGACTCAGATTTGCCATGGCTGCATCCCTTTAGGAAGGAAATCAACAGATGGACTCTTTCGCTCTCTCTCTCTCATAATTAAAATAAAATAAGTAAGAAAAGAACAAAAGGAAGGTATATGAGCAATTTATTATAGCTTTCCCCTGCAGAATAGTTCCTTCACCAGTTACAAATAAACATGAACTATCCCCAGGATTTAAGAGAAGAAAATCAAGAAAGGGAAAAGTGTCTAGTGAAATAAACATTATAATGACAATATGAAAAGTCACAAACATCCATGTAAAGGGGATATATGAACACACAGAAATAAATAGTTAATATTTTTATGTTGAAGAAAAGAGACCATACTGGAAGTCTAACATAAGAACCCAGACCTGGAACTCGCTGGAGGGAGTGACACAAGTGACTGCAAACAAAGAGCCTTGAGCCAACCACAATAAATAAAATAAAATTGTAGACCTGTGGGTGACACAACTTGAAACCTGCCCCAGAGAGAAGAATCTGCTAACAAGAAGTACAATGACCAGGAGCAAAAGAGGAGATAAAGGCATGATGAATATTACTGAAGACTCCCCTGCAAAGGCACAAAAGCCTTTGCCAATCTCAGAGTTAACTGAGAAACAAATCAAGAAAATGGATGATACAGAATTCAGTTTTGAGATAGTGGTAAGTGTTTTAATAAATGTATGAACAAGGCCATGCAATGAGTTGTTAACCTGGCCTGGGTTGATCAGAGAAGTACACAGAGTTGATGAAATGAACTAGGCTTTGAAAATTAAGGAAGTGTTGTAGGAACTAAGGAGGAAACCTCAGACCCAGCTCAGGTCATTTCTCTTGAAAGGAGTATCAACTTAGATTGAACTAACTCTTTCAGAGATGAGAGTGGACAGATGAGTACCAGACCTTGTATGGGTTTGAAAGGTTTAGATTCAAGTAACCCAAACTGGTTGGATTGACAGTACATCAGTGACAGCAGCAGCCATTTCACTAACAGGAATGTTTCAGATTACAGGCCTTCTGTGAGTCTCTCTTGCTAATTTCTGTCCTGTGATCAGAGTGACCGTCCCCACATCACACCCTTCCCCATGGACAGACCATTGCAGTGACCAGCCAATGGACACTTACAAAGGCCCAGACCTTTCTCCCAGTTCACGGCAGTTCTGGAAGGAAATCAGACATCTTGGCACCACAATCTCTGAAAAAACTAAAGTTGCTTCTGTTATGGCTTAATGGATTTGTATGTCTTTCTCCACTAGTTCCATTTTTTTTTTTTTTCATCTTACTTGGCCACTTAACCTGAAAGCACAAGTGCGTACTTCAGTGTTTCATTAAAAAGAAACCCAAATCACAACTACATCGTTATCAAGAATACAAGTGACTCAAAGGGAAAGATTCTTTGCAAGTGACATAATAATAAAACTAAATTGTTTGATATGAAAAGTACTTCCACAAACTAATAAATAAAACTTTAAATAGACAAACGATTTGATAAAATGGCTTCTAAAAAGAAACTCAAATTTTCTTGAACATGAAAGGAAAACTAACATCTTTCTTATAAGGTAACAATCACATTTACCAGGAAAAAGCAAAAGTTTATCTTATCATAGGGACATGTGGCTAATCACCTGAAAAAAACAAAATGTGGCCAACTTTCTAAAAACATCTGAAACTCCAAGAGAGCACAGTCAACTCTGTAGTGTAGAACAGGAAAAGCCTCATATGCTATTGATCAGAAATGGCTAATTCAAATACATAATGGGAATACAGGTGAATGATTGTTGAGTCCACGCTCATGTAAGGACTCACCTGGGTATAATACATGTGGGCTTTTTAGTGCCTTTGGGAATAGCTTCCTGAGTTGTCATCCATAGAGGCCGCTATTCAATTAAAAATGTATGAGGGTAGGAGGGTCAGAATCAGAACATCATAAGCTATACCTGTGCTTTATAACTTGCAGTGACTTCATCATCCGTTCATCTCAGTTTGATTTGAAAGTACAGCTTAAGTGGTAGTTATCCTGGTAAGTATTGGAAATCATTAACATTAAGTGTGCATCTCATCCATTAAGGTCATTTGAATGAGTGTCATATCCTTAACAACTTATTACAATGTTTGCATTTAGGACTTGTTTCTAACTACACCACTCTAGGGGAAAAAATCCCATTTTACTTCACCAGAATGTGTTAAGTTGCTAAGCATAACATTGTCCGGTATTCTGTCTTAGCTCAAAAGAGTCTACTCTGCTACATGCTCTAGTTCATAGAGTATGTTAAAAGAACCAAAAGTCATCACATTATTTGAGCATATACAGACTACCATTCACTAATGAAGATAAAATAAAATTTTACATGTATATATGGACATTGTTAAATATGAAATTGTTCAGCATGTTCTTTATATTGATAGTAAAGTGATGTGTAATGTGAAGTATTAAGACTATCTCATGTCTTGAGTATATTTTTCCACCAAAACAAGCTTATCTTTTTGTTTCACCTTTTCTATTAACTTTTCCTTAAAATGCCTTTGTATCTTCAGTTTTTCATGAATATTTTTCTCTCTTCTTTAGAATAGCATCAGAACCAAATCTTGTGAATTAGGAGACT